ATTGAAGAGTTGTGAAAAAGTAAAGAGTAGTAAAGAAACAGAAGGAAAAACAAACTTTTAAAACAAAGCGCTGTTTAAAATATATTTTGCGTTTTTTTTTTTTTGTTTTGTTTTCTTACTCTTTACAAATTCATTCTGTTACACATGCGCTTCTGAAAAAGAAAAGAAAAAGCAAACCAATGATACCGTAAATGTCCAGGGATAGATACGGAACAAGAAAAGAGAACTATGTGTTTTTGCAATCATCCAGAGATTTGTTGTTTTCTTTTTAGAGAATTTTGTAAATATCTGAATAATTCGTAATACGAAGTTGTAATATCTGCTGAATACGACAGATGAGTCACAGCTTCTTAGCCAAACTGTTCTTATTTTAGATAGGAGAAGGCTTCAAGACCCAGCGATTTTAACCCTGTGACAGAATCTAAGAGAGGTTGGGTCTTTGTAATATCGATGCCAGAGTGACAGTGGTCGCGAGGACTGTGCATTTTTTGTCCATATTCATGTGTATGGGCTCCCCATCCTAAAAACGACGTTGTATTACATCCTGTCTTAGTTTTGGAGGTAAGCTAAATATACGCTTCTTAGCCAAGCTAAAATATTTTTTGCTTCATCAATTCTTGATAGAATATTCGCGGTTAACTAATTCTCATCAAATTTTTTACCGATTGTTGTCTTCAGTTTATCTAATTACAAGCAATACTTGTTCGAATCAATCATTTGGTTTCTCTAAGGGGCTTATTCTAGAGCGTTCCGATTAACTTCCGAGCGAAATCCGTCTTATCCGTCTCTAAATAAAAATGTATTAAAGTGTCAAAATATTATCACTTATTTTCATCTATCTTCTGTTTTAGAACCAACGAACAAACATACGTCATTTCTGTCTTTAAAAATTAAATGATACAAGTTGACATGAAATCTATCACAGATCAGCCCATATCCCACAGGTGGCACGTTTCTAGCCTTTTTCTACTCTATCACTTTTTTCATGGTAGATGTTAGGGTGAATTGCATTCCTTGGTTCCAACAAGGTCCCTTCACAGCTACGACCCACCATCTCCTATGTCACGTACACTGAGTGGACTCAGATGTTAGGATGAACAGCATTCCTTGGTCTCAACAAGGTCCCTTCATAGCTACGACCCACCATATCGCTCTGTCACGTACACTGAGGGGACTCAGATGTTAGGGTGAACAGCATTCCTTGGTCCCAGAAAGGTCTCTTCACAGCTACGACCCAACATGTCCCCATGTCACGTACACTGAACTCATCGTAATTCACTTCATATTCCATTAGTGAGGAAGAATTCCACTCAGATAATTTCTTCTCCAGAACTTGCATTGTAGAACGAATTCCCGGGGATTGGATTTACGATCGCTGATCTCCTTCGAGCCGATTATAGGATTTGGTTAAACGCCTGCTACAATTATCTTATGGTCGTGTGTTCAATCTCTGGGTCAGGCAGCTCTTCCTTCTCTTTATATGGGCTTTATCCCTTCAGGACGTGGGTGATCGTCGTTTTCCTCAAGGTTTTTATTCATTTTTTTATTTATTATTATTGTTCATCTAATACAAGGCCCAAGAATCAGGAAGAGGCAGAGGAGGAGGGTGGAAGGAGAAAAACAACAAGAAGATATTAATAGTAGGATATATATATATATATATATATATATATATATATATATATATATATATATATATATATATATATATATAAGAGATATACTGAGATATCAATTCGAAAATGCGGAGAACCACATAATTATTGATAAGACAGAATCTGGGGACAAAAAATAAAAAGAAAGAAGTGAGGAAAGCTAAAAAATTAAAAAAAAAAATGTTGGAAGAAAATAAAGAAAATATATATAGCCAATTAATGGAAAAGAAAAGGGAAAAACATGCAAAGAGAAAAAGTATAAAAAGGGAGCAAAGAAAGAAAGAAAAAAGAAAAAAGAAAGAAAAAAAACAAAGAAAAATGAAGAAATAAAAAAGAAAAATAAATAAGTAAGAAATAATAAAGAAATAAAGAAAGAAAGACGGAAAAAAAATAGATAAAGAAAGAAAGAAAAAATAAAGAAAGAAAAATGAAGAAAGAAAAATGAAGAAAAATAAATACATAAATAAATAAAAAAGAAAGAAAGATAAATTTAGAAAGAAAAAATAAATAAAGAAAAATGAAGAAAAATAAATAATAAATAAATAAAAAATAAAGAAAGAAAGAAAGAATGAAGAAAGAAGGAACATAGAATGAAAAATAAAGAAAAATAGAAAGAAAGAAATAACGAAAAAAGAAAGAAAGAAAAAGAAAGAAAGAAAAAGAAAGAAAGAAAAAGAAAGAAAGAAAGTAGCAAAGTAAGATGAACCTGAATAATAGAAGTGACAGACGTGAAAAAAAAAAAAAAGAAACCTTGAATCGTTGTTGCTAAAGAAGGAACGAACGAACAAAACAGAAATACAGAAGCGAATGGCATTAGATAGAAATGAATTTAACCTCCCCGCCATTGAATTTCTGGAGAACAAGATCGACCTTTTTGTTTATTAAGAATCTCTCAAATTTTTTTCAGTTAAATTGAAACTATAAATTCGTCTTAGTCACCTTAACTAAATAAAATAAAACTTATAAGAACAATTTTCACAGGCACACTTCAGTGCACACTGTTGTACAAAGCCGTCAAGACGAGGCTCAAACATAATTGGAAAGTATAATTCACAATGAAAAGGACCCGCCCACGCAGATTGCGTCTACTTTTGAAAAAGATGGTATCTACTTTTGAAAAGGAAACACCCACGCAGATGGCACCGACTTTTGAAAGCTCAGCACGACTAAATTTTGAATTTTACTAATTTCTACTTTGATGCCAATTTTGAAAGAGCAGCGTTACTAAATTTCTAGATGCAGTTTTCTACCATTCAACCTCGGTTCTGTCTTGATTGGTTGACTTATAATTCATAGCGGTGGAAATACGCAAGTACTTTCCGAATATCTTAATATTAATTGACTATCTTTGAAAGTAGAAGATATAAGTGAAAAAAAAAAAAAACGTTATCATTTATTTTGTCATGATTGACAATGGTTGTAACAGATACTACTGCTTGAGCAGTTCCGGTAGTTATGGGAAAGTGGTTTCTCGGAAAGCTTAGTCAATCTCCATGACGAGAATCTTTTGTCGAAATAACTTAAGCTGAGATGGAGCAGACGGAGAAACAAAACCATTCAAGAGCATTGCTTTGAAGTAAATTTAAATTACCGCATCCGGAATTTTTGGGGGCCTAGAGCTGTTATGACACTCTGCAAAATATCATATCAGATGTGGGCAAACGTTTCCAGTTTTTAACTGTGCATTAGTGGCCAAAAAGAACGCTGGCGATGATTTCTTGAGAAAGAAGTGGGATAGTTTTCTGTTTTCCACTATTTTTTCTTATATATATATATATATATATATATATATATATATATAAGCACCAGATATACTGAGGTATCAATTCGAAAATGCGGAGGACCACATAATTATTGATAAGGACAGAATCTGGGGACAAAAAAATAAAAAGAAAGAAGTGAGGCGAACAGCATTCCTTGGTCCCTTTCTGGGACCAAGAAATGCTGGTCAGATTGATTTCCACACAAAACTAGACAGTTGGACTATTTAACCTATTGATGCGGGGGTTTTCTTTCCGAAAACCATAGTGCAATCATGAATGCAACAGAGTATGGAAATATATATATATATATATATATATATATATATATATATATATATATATATATATATATGTATGTATATATATATATAAACAACTCTTCCGTCGAATTCGACGCATGAGAGTCCCACAGATGAGTTCTTAGGAACCGACTTCCCAGACACCAGCATTTTATGGTATGGGGCGCAATGTGGTATTATGGTGTATGGAGGATTGATTGGTGACGGACGAGTTTTTGTGGTGAATGGGCAAATTGTAATGCGTCAATGGGTCGTAAATCAGATAAGCTAGGTATAGGATAGTTAGTGACGATCAGCCTCGACCCCTCCCCATTTCGTCCTTGTGCCCTAAGTGTGTAATTTTACGAAATAAATATCCACCAGCATATATGATTTGATTATAGGGGTGAAGGTTTTGGGTAAAACCAACCACACTTTATGAAGGGCCGAATACAGAGACCTGGTGCACTACATGCCACAAGGTCCCCAAACATTCCTCCACAGGTTTTGAATTCAGAGTTTTCCTTCTCCTAGACCAGCTGCCATCCAAGGCTATAGAACCCAGTCTGTCCTGCTATTTTACCCATAGCTGGAGGGAGAAGAGGATTCATACCTTTGCCAAGAGTGTTAGCACGTAAGTGAATGGAATGGAATCAACTGGAATTTGAACTTGAGGAGGCACGGTGGAGTAATGGACAGCGTATTGGATTGAGGTATTGGAGAGCGAAGTTCGAATATATATATATATATATATATATATATATATATATATACTATACCAATATAACCCGTCTTCGACCGGGTCTTTCATTACTGGGAATTTTTGCTGTTCAATTGGATCAGTTTAAGTTTAAAGTCAGCCTACCAGAAAATCAGTATTAGTAACAACAATTGGGTGCAATTGAGGTACATCCCCAAATTGGGTTGTGAGGGAGGGGTAACAATTTGAAAAGGGGTCGTTTTTGCTTTCTCAATCTTGCAAGGAAGGAACCATTTTTTAAGGAACCGTCATAATAATATACGATAGTTTTTATTTATAATATATATATTTTTTTATAATTCTAATAATCTTTTGCGTTAGATTTCAACTCTTTAAATTGAATGTATGCTGTTTTTTACAAACATTAAATTTTCCCTTTGATTTTTCAGCAAAGTGTAAAAAATCAGTTTTTCGATTTTTCACCTTTATGATTGTAATTTTTCCAGCCAATTTGGACTCAAAACCGGCACCGAAGAAATATCTATCAAAAAAAAAAAAAAATCATCGAAATCGAATGAAAACTGTGGAAATACACATATGCATATAGACACACACTCATTTTGAGAATTATATATATATATATATATATATTAAGACATTATATAATTCTTGTCTATTTATTTTTAATAGATCCCTCTAATAATTACGGACAAGTTTGTTAGTATCCTTTTTTAAGAAAATTACCATGTTGATGCATATTCATTTTATTCCGAGTACTTTCGACATTAGCAAAATGTCATCATCAGGGTCTTGTTTTTTCTAAGACAAAAGTTGTTGTGTTCATCTGAAAATGAATTTTTTTTACGTGTGAAGTGAAAAACACAAAGGTTTTGTACTGTACAATTTCAAATTTTATCATGTAGGCTCACGTGCAAACGTCAAGGGAGGTAACTAACTTATTGTAATGTCTGCGTTAGTAGAAAGAGTGATACTGAGATCTGGACTGTATTATGTAGGCCAGGTCTGGTTGAAAGGCAGTCATTTTAGAAATTGGCTGGAAAAGGCCATGGTCAGGGTCACAGAGGGAAGCTACATACTGTGCTGCCATCTTTTTGTAAAACATGGAATTGCATTTCTAAGGTGTGTACGTTACACAATCCGATTGACAATGCTGTCGGGCTGTAAGTGATATGCCAGAGGAGAAAATTGACTGCAAGCCGTAATTAGACCCTGGGCTCGACTTTGGACATACCTGATGCAAACAATTAAACCTGTATTCCTTTTTACAATCAGGGAAAGCACTCCTTTAGCCGAAACGTGTCGTTATCAATTAACTATGATGTCTTCCAAAGACCAAATTGGTAAAAGCGCGCTCCGGCTATAGGGTTGGTTTCCATGTTAGAAAAAAGGGAAGAGTTGTTTCGATTCTCTTTAATTGATCTAGGTCGGTTGATATTAATTTCACTGTTTAAGAAAAAAATAGTGATGCCAACCCAAACATGAGTACTCACGATAAATAACGTTTATAGTAATAAAAAGTAATGTCGGATTAAAAAATACATTTAAAATTAATAATATTAATATTAATATTAATGTAGTCTATGTTAAATCGATTGCGATTGAGTTTAAATCAACTCTCTTTTTTTGAAATTCAATTTTGTTTATAGAGAAACATATGTAATTTTATTTTGCTTTGACATTTTGTTTATTACGCATTTGTTATATTTAGTCAAAAGTATCAAGCAGGTTTTTCGTTTTGAAAAACAACGAAAATCAAGGAAACCAGCTAAATTTCTTGACAATGATTCCAGACAAACAACGAAACGGAATTTTAGAAGTGTGAATACTGAGAGACATACATCATCACAGCGAGATGAGTAGAACGCATGTGTCACAAAACAATTCGCCTGTCTAGTGAATTCAGTACTCACAGTTGCTCCACTTTTGTGGCCTTATGCCTGGCTAAGTTCAGTAAATAATCATATGTTCATAAATGTGGCGTAGATAAAATATTGCAATGACGTGTAATTCTTGAACGAGAAAGCGTTTGTCATGAGGCAAGTACATTAAGCAAAGATTGTCAAATATTTCGGTAGGCTGAAATAGAGATAAGCGGTTGTTGGTGAATCACAGTGAGAGGATTCAAGTAATTTTGATGAGATAAAGAGAGAGAGAGAGACAGAGAGATGAGCAAGGAGAAAGATATCGAAAGAAGAAAATAAAGAAAAAAATGAATTGAGATAGATAGATAGATAGATAGATAGATAGATAGATAGATAGATAAAATGAGACCGGATACATAAATAGATAAGCTGAGGTTACATAGATAGATAAGATGAAACTAGACAGACAGATAGATAGATAGATAGATAGATAGATAGATAGATAGATAAGATAAAACTAGATAGATAGATAGATAGATAGATAGATAGATAGATAGATAGATGAAACTAGATAGATAGATAGATGAAACTAGATAGATAGATAGATAGATAGATAGATAGATAGATAGATAGATAGATAGATTATAAAAAGGCTAAATCTACAATATAGAGTTCTGTTGCCGCTCTCTTACATATGAGGAGAGCACCAGCCTGTTTTATAAATCAGTTCCGTTTTCACCTTGGGTAAAAACACCGGCAGCTATTACCGGCAAAAATACGCACCTGTCGCAATCAAGTAAACATCCCATTTAATGTATATATATATATATATATATATATATATATATATATATATATATATATATATATATATGATATGATAAAATAGTCTTAATGCATGCTATGTTTATGTAAAAATGTTCAATATTACAGATAGAGCGTAGGTAGATATAGAAATATGAAAGTGGTCACTGAGATCAGCACCAAACATGCGACAGTCTGTTTCATGCTTGTATGCAATGTCCAGGTTATATATATATATATATATATATATATATATATATATATATATAAAAGATAAAAGATAGGCAAAGAAAAAATGTTGAATAATAAAACTAAATAAGAGGGAAAATAAACTTAAGGAAAAAGAGGGAAAGAGTGCAAGGATAAGGTAAACTATAAAAAAAAAAAAGTGAAGGAAACAATAGAAAAAAAGACTAA